AAAAAGTGCGGCTTTCAGTGGATTCAATTTTTGCCACGTTCATCCACAGTTAGTTTGTTATAGGGTTGTTGTAGGTTTTTTCGGGCTATATGGCCATGTTCTAGAGGCATTCCCTCCTGGCGTTTCGCCTGCATCTATGGCAAGCAACCTCAGAGGTAGTGAGGTCTGTTGAAACTAGGAAAAAGGGTTTATATATCTGTGGAAGGACCAGGGTGGGACAAAGGACTCTTGTCTGCTGGAGCTAGGTGTGAATGTTTCAACTGACCACCTTGATTCGCATTTGATGGCCTGGAAGTGCCTGGAGCAATCTTTTCTTAAGAGGTGATTAGATGTCCCTGTTTGTTTTCCCTCTGCTGTTTTGCTGTTTTAATTTTAGAGTTTTTTAATACTTGTAGCCAGATTTTGTTCATATTATTTGAGAACACAGAAATGCTGGACCACTCTCACAACCACCTTTCAGACTACACAAAGAAGCCATTGAAATCCACAAGCATGTGGACAATTTCAACAGAAAGGAGGAAACCATGAAAATGAACAAAATCTGGCTACCAGTATTAAAAAACTCTAAATGGGTTTAGCTCCTGTCATATTTTCTGCTGAATACAACCTTGAAGGTGAAAGTGCTGGAGGGCTTAGCTTCAGACTATTAAAAAGGAAGCTGCCATGTGTCCCTGCGTTGGTACCGCAAATGGGGAGCAACATGTGTGTGTTCAAATCACAACTAAACAAGCTTTGATCAGCTCTGCCTTTGAATGTCTAGCAATCCCCACATCAAAAGAGCAAGGCATTCATGGGTGGTTTTGCTGGTCTCTTTTTTCCTTTTCTGCAGCACTCGCATACGTAGCTCAATTATTTCTAGGTACTTCTTCACCGAATACCAGGTGCTGTAGGCTGTATTTCAGAGGAAGGAACTGGCAAACTCTGAGGATTCCTTTCCTAAGAAAATTCTAGAAAATCCAGGGGTTAGAGATTGGTTATTTGAAGTAAGCAACAGACTCGGGAGTTGGTGATGGTGTGAGTTTTCAGGCTAACTCAGACTGATAGTGATCCTATCCTAGATTTTTCTTCAAAAGATCTATTTATTTATTTATTTATTTATTTACAGTATTTATATTCCGCCCTTCTCACCCCGCAGGGGACTCAGGGCGGATTACAGTGTACACATATATGGCAAACATTCAATGCCAATTTTTGACATACAAACATATACAGACATACACAGAGGCTATTTAATTTTTCCTGGCCACCAGGGGAGCTGTCGCTTTCATCATCCATCTGCGATGCTGATAGAGCACTTCCGCATTCCCCGCATGCTTCCCCACTGGAATGCTTTGCTGGAGTCTTCTTTATGGCCTCATAAATCAGTTAATTTAGCTTCCCCACATTTTTAAGGTGGTACCTAATTTTCCTACTTGACAGATGCAACTGTCTTTCGGGTTGCAAAGGTCGACAACAGGCTACACACAATTGGTTGGAACCCACTCCAACCCGGGCTGGCTTCGAACTCAGAGTGATCTTAATGCAGCTGACACTCAGCAAAGGTTGACAACAGGCTACACACAATTGGTTGGAACCCACTCCAACCCGGGCTGGCTTCGAACTCAGAGTGATCTTAATGTAGCTGACACTCAGCCAGCTGTGCCACAATCCCGACATGTGAAAAGACTCTTTTCACACAAGGTAAGAAGACATAGAGTCCAAAGTCCAAAGGAAAGTTCAAATAACAGTAATATCCAAATGATGATGGAGTACAGCTCTCAAGGAAAATCTTCATAGGGAGAAATCCTACAGGGGTGCCCAGGTAATTTTATATACCCTGTTTCGGGGACAAAATCCCCTTCTTCAGGACTTGATAAACACAGTATTATAGGCTCATGTCTAAAACAAAACATAGAATAACAAGCAATTACCAGCAAATTTAAAGAAGTGAAGATAATACAATATAACAAATAATTACTTACATCATGCCTAATAGTTTTACATAGAGTGACTCTGCTGCTGGTTATTTGAACTGCGAGTAATGTTAAAGATCCTTCCACAAGCTTATATGGAGTATAGAGGAACTTAAAGGAAACAGATAAAGTTAAGTGACTCATTAAGTCCCCGAGGAGAAAAGATTTTAAACTTAAAGATCCAGTACATTTCCCTTTAGGATAATAGTTTTTGCAAGTCCATATGGGGTTTAGGAGTAATACATTCCAGAGTACAAAATTTAAAAGAATTAGGTAAGCGATTACATTGTGTAAAGTGTGAATATAAAGAGGATTTGGTAGAAAGACATTTAATTCTGGATTTATGTTCTGAGATTCTGATTCTTAGGGGTCTAGTCGTCTTCCCAACATACCACAGATCACAATCACATGTCAAAAGATAAATGACATTGCTACTGTTGCAAGTGGAGAAATGTTTAAGTGTAGTGCCTACTTTGTTTCTATAGTTATATACCTCCTTTGTCTCCCAAGGTTGTGAACAACATTTCCAATGTCCACAGGGGTAATGGCCTCTCAAGGTACTTTTGGGTGTAATGGTGGGAGTAGTTAAGTCAGTATAAATTTAGAAATCTCTTATATTTTTGGTACATCTATTGTCGAAAATCTGTAATCTTTCACAACCAGGAATATCTTGTAGTGCTTTTTAATAATTCGGGTGATGTGTTTGGAGTAGTGCGACATTGTTTTGCCACATTGGTATACTCACACCATTTTGGCCTTCTTTCAAGGTTTTCCACCACTTCGCAATATCAGGATTGCGGCAGACAGGCATTAGTGCACAAGGAAGAATGGCAGAAAGACAGCGACATTCACTTCAATGTCAAGCGCAATGCGACTATGGAACATACATGATGTTGTATGACAAGTACATCCAAATGTGCTTTTATTTTGCCATAATAATCCAGTATCAGTTTCATGTGGGACAATACAGGATGCCCAAAATTCATATGTACAATTTCAATTGTATATATGTTAAAATAATTTTCAAACACCCTGTAATCTTCTTGACATTTTGTTGTCATCAACTGCCATCAAACTGACTTGACTTTTGGTGATCCCATGAGAGACCTCCAAGTCACCTTGTCATCTAGGTCTTGCAGAATGAGGGCTTTCCTTAAATCAGTGGTTCCCAACTTTTTTTTTTGACAGGGGACCACTCTCCAACATTAATATCAAAAGGATTACGAATTGATTTTTGGTCCATTTTAGATTTAGTTTGGTTATTTGGAATGCTGATTCGGAAAACTGCATTGGATAGACCAAATCAGCTCTAGTTTCCGATACTGAACATATGCCATCCAGTAGTTGCCATCTGCTCACCCACAGAAAAGCATATTTAATAATAATAGAATCATAGAATTGGAAGAGACCTTATGGGCCATCCAGTCCAACCCCCAGCCAAGAAGCAGGAAAATCGCACTTGGAGCACCCCCGATAGATGTCTGTCCAGCCTCTGTTTAAAAGGTGGTGATCGAGAGCTGATGTCGTCTATCCAGTGTAATTTTCTGAATCAGCACCCCAAATAACCCCAGGCACAGGCCTAAAAGCAAAGACACCAAGAACATATTTTGTTGGGCTGTGTTATTGTCAGTGGATTTTGTTAACGCTCATGTTAAAAAAAGAGGGGGATGGGGCTGAGGTTGAAAAAAATACAAAAAGCAGAGTGTGAGACACAAGAAACTGTCTCTAACACCTATAACAACAACAACAACAACTTTGAGGGACTAAACAGGGTCTTATAAAGGGCTGCTTTCCCATTACAACTGATGTGTGGCAATGGGAAATTATTATTATTATTACTACTACTACTACTACTACTACTACTACGAGGGGTATTTTTTAAGTAAGGTCCGTTTTGTTGTAGACACTAGTAGTTCACCGCATACCGCAACGAGCGCGTGCGTCGTGTATCGGCATGCCTCGGGAACAACTGTGCTCAGTTTCCGCTCTGTAGCTAACCTGTACGGTTCTGTTCTGTGCTTTAAAAATGTTTAAGACTATCAACTCACCCTCCGCATGTGAGGTTCGCTCAGTGATACGGTTTTTGTCAGCAAGGAACCTGCCTGCTGCAGAAATTCATCGACAGATTTGTGAAGTGTACGGTGATACTGTTATGAGTGAAAGCAAAGTGCTTAAGTGGGTATGACAATTCAAAGATGGCTGTGACAACATCCATGATGAGGACCGCTCCGGTCGCCCTTCTTTGATTACAGACAATTTGGTGGCTTCAGTTGAAGCGAGCGAACCTCACATGCGGAGGGTGAGTTGATAGTCTAAACATTTTTAAAGCACAGAACAGAACCGTACAGGTTAGCTACAGAGCGGAAACTGAGCACAGTTGTTCCCGAGGCATGCCGGTACACGACGCATGCTTGTTGCGGTATGCGCGCGAACTATTAGTGTCTACAATAAAACGGACCTTACTTTAAAACTACCCCTCGTACTTTGGGGGATTCTCCTTTTCTCTCTCGCTCCCTCTCGTGGGCTGCTGGGTGAGTCTTCTCTGCCCTGGCCTGGGAAGCCTCCCAAGGCTGAGAAAGTGCTGGTGAGAGCAATGACCTTCCTTCCTTTCTTCTCTCCCTCTCCTTCTCTCTCACTCTCCGCATGTGCACCCCCGGCGCATGCGCTGCTGCAATTTCCCCCCTCATGTCTTGCGAACCTTATTTTAGGTCTCACAATCCACCTGTGGGCAGCAGCCCACAAGTTGGGCACCACTACCTTAAATGAATCTATCCATCTTTAGTGTGGCCTTTCTCCTTTCTCACTGCCTTCTACTTTTCTAAGCCTTATTGTCTTCTTTCACAAGTTCTTTCTTCTCATGATATGGCCAAAGTTGGACAGCCTCAGTTTCATCACTTTAGCTGCTAGGGAGACTCCAGACTTGATTTGTTCTGGTCAGAGAACCTCAAATCCCTGTGTTTTAATGCTGTATTCCTCGCTCAACCTCCTTGGGCTAGGGGCTCACCTCCATACTGTGGCTGAAGTGAAAAGAGAAGTATGAAAAGAGAAATGGAAGCCAAGGTACCATGGAAGAAAGGGGCTCTTGAGGAGCAATACACCTACGTTGTGATGGACCAGCGGCCTGAGCCCAAGGCCAGCCTTCCCTGGGCACAAGCTTCATTGCCCCGGAACCTGGCCTTCCAATATGACAGCAACGATCAGGTATGTCCCCTGCTCAAAGACTTTGGGAAGGAAGAAAACACTGCTAGATTTTCATAGCTGAAAATACAGATGGAATGCTTAGGAACAGAAGCCTTTTGGATTTTGAATTGTTTGGGAAATTGGGACCTAAGTCTAAACGCAAGATAAATTAACAATTCAAATACACTTTATACATATAGATTAAAGGTAATTTTATACACTCTTTTAATAATTTTGATCACAACCTGTCAGAGGCAACATGTCATGGTCAGAGCCACCCATGTGCATTATGGAACATTTTGGATTTCCGCTTAAGGGAAACTCAATTTGTAATATTTGTGTGTGCTTTTCCTCATTTAGTATTGAGGAAAAGCACAGCTTGTTGCCTTGACATTCCTATTGGATCTCACTGTGATCTGTCCCAGCTGCATGTGACCCAGTTTTAATGTGTGAAAATTTAGAGCAGGGGTCCTCAAACTAAGGCCTGAGGGCCGGATACGGCCCTCCAAGGTCATTTACCCGGCCCTCGCTCAGGGTCAACCTAAGTCTGAAACGACTTGAAAGCACAGCAACAACAATCCTATCTCATCAGCCAAAAGCAGGCCCACACTTCCCACTGAAATACTAATAAGTTTATATTTGTTAAAATTGTTCCTCATTTTAATTATTGTATTGTTTTTAAGTGTTTTTTGCACTACAAATAAGATATGTGCAGTGTGCATAGGGATTCATTCATGCTTTTTTCAAATTATAATCTGGCCCTCCAACAATTTGAGGGACTGTGACCTGGCCCTCTGTTTAAAAAGTTTGAGGACCCGTGATTTAGAGGGTATGGTTGGAATTTTTTTTTCATGTCAGGAGTGACTTGAGAAACAGCAAGTCGCTCCTGCTGCGAAAGAATTGGCCATCTGCAAGGACATTGCCCAGGGGACGCTCGGATGTTTGATGTTTTACCATCCTTGTGGGAGGCTTCTCTCATGTCTCCACATGGGGAGCTGGAGCTGACAAAGGGAGCTCAACCTGCTTTCCCCAATTTCGAACCACTGACCTGTCAGTCAGTAGTCCTGCCAGTACAAGGGTTTTAACCCATTGTGCCATTGGGGGCTCCTAGAAAACGTATGGGCCCTAATATTCCCCAGCCAGAATAGTTACATACACACTTTTCATTACAATAAAAACTCATGGCAATGGATTATTGATGAGAAAATCAAACCTACGCACCCCCAGTTATACTGAAGCTAGGAACAAGGAGGCCTGGAGGGGTGGCAAATGATATCATGCCTCTGAAAAAAACAAGTTATTTTGTCCAGTGCCCCATGGTTACAGCACTGGATACAGGTAAGGTAAAGATTTTCCCCTGAGATTAAGTCTAGTCATGTCCGACTCTGCGAGGTGGTACTCATCTTCATATCTGAGCTGAAGATCCAGCATTGTCCATAGACACCTCCAAGGTCATGTGGCCGGCATGACTGCATGGAGCGCCATTTATTTATTTATTTACAGCTTTTATATTCCGCCCTTCTCACCCCGCAGGGGACTTACAGTGTGCACATATATGGCAAACATTCAATGCCAATTTTTGACATACAAACATATACAGACATACACAGAGGCTATTTAACTTTTTCTGGCCACCAGGCAAGCAGTCGCTTTCATCGTCCATCTGCGACGCTGATGAAGTACTTCCGCATTCCCCGCATGCTTCCCTGCTGGAATGCTCTGCTGGAGTCTTCTTTATGGTCTCATAAATTAGTTAATTTAGCCTTCCCACACTTTAAGGTGGTACCTAATTTTTCTACTTGACAGACGCAACTGTCTTTCAGGTTGCAAAGGTCGACAACAGGCTACACACAATTGGTTGGAAACCCACTCCAACTCGGGCTGGCTTCAAACTCATGACCTTTTGGTCAGAGTGATCCTTCCCTCCAGAGCAGTACCTATTGATCTACTGACATTTGCACATTTTCAAACTGCTAGGTTGGTAGAAGCTGGGGCTAACAGTGGGAGTTCACTCCGCTCCCCGGATTCAAACCTCCCCGGTAACCTTTCGGTAAGCAAGTTCAGCAGCTCAGCAGTTTAATCCACTACGCCACCAGGATACAGGTAGTGACACCATTTTGATTCTTCTTCAGGTGAAAACCGTGGTTAGCAGAGAGTATATCCCACAAGGAACATGTTTTGGACCACTAGTTGGAAAGATCTGCACTGGACTGAAAATGTCAAGGAGTATGGATCCGAAGCACTTCTGGAAGGTAACACTCACTCACCACACACCTTTGGAGATGTTTTGGAAGAAAGGGAAAATATAAAACAAATAGATACATACAATAAACCAAGAGAGCACTAATTTGCCTGGCACTGGACTACATGAATTTGATTTCTAGAAACAGGAAGTTGACAAACCCCTTCCTCTGTGTAACCATAGAAAAATCATCTATTCAAAGATGGGTTTCCTCAGTAACTGAATAGATTGCTATGCAACTTCTGGAGTGGGAAGCTTGCGAGTGTGGAGGGCTCTAAACTCACTGAATTGCATTGGTGAATTTGCTGCCATGGCATATCAGTGGCCTACGAATGGCAGCAAAAACAAAACAAAACCAAGAATCGTGGAAGTTTCTTCAAAAAACTAGGTGCATGCTTCCCATGTACCTTGTTTTAAAGGGATTTCTTTTTGCCACAGACACCAAAATTAAACAGGATGGCTGCAAACATCGTAACTATGGATGTAGATTTAAGGGGACCAAGAGAAGATCTTAGGAAGCTATTTTTTGGACTACAAGTCCCAGAGTCCACCACCAATCATATTCAAGCTGTCTAGGGAATTCTGGGAGCTAGTAGTTGGAAAAGTAGCATTTCCAAGCTACTCAAAATAAGTGGAGAGACACAATAAGTCTATGGGCTATATGTTCCTCACCCATGGAGTACCTCATTCATCCCCATTGTCTTGTGTCTTGTCTGCTCAGGTTTTTTCCTCAGAAGGAGAGCTTCACCATATATTGGCTGTGAACGATCCAGATTGCAGCAACTGGATGTGTTATGTGAACTCAGCTGAAGCCCATCCAAACCAGAACCTAATGGCCATCCAATACAACCTGGAGATCTATTTCTACACTGTGACACCGATTTTGGATGGAGAGGAACTTCTGGTATGGGACGCTCGTGACATCTCCAAACACATCTCATCTTTGCAGCCAGGGAATCTGATATCTCAACCAGGTGAGAGTGCTACCGATGCCATGGCCATCATAATCCAGTATTTTAGATAGCAGGAAATCGGACAAGGAACCTCTTCTCCCAACCTGGCAACAGGAAGCCATCTATCTCCACACAGCACTCCACATTATCTAACTCTGTGGAAAATGAAATTCATTTGGGATTTATTTATTTGTCATTTATTTACAACATTTCTACCCTGCCCTTCTCAACCCCCGAGGGGGGACTCAGAGTGGCTAACACTGGCAAGAATTCGATGCCGCAATACCAAAATATAACACAATATAAAACCATAAATACACAATAGATTGAAAACAATAACATTATACAGTCATAGCCGTTTTCTTATCATAACAATCATATGACCCAGTTCAGTGTCCAATGTGCCATTGTGCCTTCTAACCAAAAGCCTGGTTCCAAAACCACGATTTCAGTTTTTTTCCTAAAGAAGTGGTTCTCAACCTGGGGTCCCCAGATGTTTTTGGCCTACAACTCCCAGAAATCCCAGCCAGTTTACCAGCTGTTAGGATTTCTGGGAGTTGAAGGCCAAAAACATCTGGGGACCCCAGGTTGAGAACCACTGTCCTAAAGGAAAGGAGGGAGGATCTAATCTTGCTGGGGAGTGAATTCCACAAGCAGAGGGTCACCACCGAGAAGGCCCTGTCCCTCATCCCAATCAGACATGTTTGCGAGGCCGGTGGGACCAAGAGCAGGGCCTCCCTGGTGGATCTTAAACTACAAAGCGGAACATAGAAGGAGATACGTTTGGACAAGTAAGCTGGGCCGGAGCCCTATAGGGCTTTATAGCCCAAGACCAGCACTTTGAATTTTTCTTGCTATACAGTCAGGGATAGACAACTGGCAGAAGCTAGGTGGCCATATTAGTCCCTCAAAAGATCTTCCAAGACTACATCAATTAAAAAATCAATGTTTTGCCTTCAAATGTCCTTTCCCCATGTTTCTGGCCCACAATACCATTCTGGGCCCAGTAGAGGAGTTTTTCACAACAGGAAACGAATCAGAAGTATTATCTCTGTAAAACACGTTTTTTCCCCTCTAGAGTATTCTGTGGATGGATAGAAAAAAAACCTTTCTTGATAATAAGCTAAAGATTACACATGTTATCTGATTTTTCCCTTAATGTGTGGTCTGAGAATGAGATTGTATCCTTAAATTATTGGTTCTGTGCATACCTCATATTCCCGATCCATATCCATGGTACACTGTAATCTTCCAGCCTCCAAACTTCTGTGTGGTCATCTTGAGTTAGAATTCAAACAGTTGGTTAAGAGAAAAAGAGAAGAGTTTTATGGAGAAGTCATGTGAAGAAAATAATATTTCTCCCATCTTTGTTAGATATTACCTCATCTCATATGGTTGTTTAGTAAGGGAGAAAGATGAATCAGAGCTAGCTTGCTTCATACAATATGACTTCTAAGACAGAGATAGATATTTGTCTTTCTTGCCACATGTTTTAGCCCTTATGTTTCTGTAAAATATATCTTAGTATCATGGGATTATATATAAAATTATGGCATTTAATTTCTATATGTAAGAAGTTTGAAATACATGGACAGACCGTAAAAACGTTTCTTTCTTTATGGAATGTCTAGGCTCAAGAGATTTCCAGTTAGACCACCAGAATCACAGACTAACAGAAAATGGCTCCAAAGAGGACCAGAAACGCACATCATTCTCCACAAAGAAAGGCCAAACTGACAAAAGGAAAAAGAGCACTCATGTTGAAGGACTTGAACAAGAACTAGAACAAGACATTCCACGAATAAGAAAAGCAGGAAATCAAAATATGGAGTCAAAGATGCGGGCCCCGTTTAAGGACACAACCAAAGAGCATCACATAGTGCTTAATAATTCCTCTCACAATACATCTAAGGGGGAAGCTGGACCTGAGATGCCTCGGTTTCCAAACCAAAGAGACATGGCTTTAGAAAAACAACATGATCCCAAGTACTATGTATACAGCCCAACTACTTCACAATGGAAGAAGCATCAGCTCCATATGAGCAATCTCTATTCCTCCTTCTCAGGGTTCCCACCAATGGGCTACTTGCCCCAAGGTTATCATTATGCTTGCAACTACTACCCTGGGCTTGCAGTACCCCTTCAAACCTTCTCCTTTCAATCAGGACTCCCACTGACCACTCCTAGGCACATTATACCTCTACATTTATCCACCCAGGACATCTTGGAGAAACAAAGATGTCCATACCCTGAGATATGCCGAGCTGTTTACCCACCCACCTTGTCACAAGATGCCACTAGACTACATAATCCTCTTTCTTTCCTTCATACCAGAACCTTGTCATTTGCAGAGTCCACCAGTGGACATCTTTTGTGTGACTCTGTCATTCAGCAAGAGAGGACAGCTTTCCCATTTCTCCACCAGGATGAGACTGACTGCCCCAGTGTGTCAAAGACCAGCCCACCAGCATCCCAGGAAAGCAGTTCATCCATCTCATACCCTCTGAACACAAAGAATGGCAAAATCAAATATGAGTGCAACATCTGTGCCAAGAGCTTTGGGCAGCTCTCCAACTTGAAGGTATGGCCTGAAAACTCAGGATACAAATGAGAATGAAACAGTTTGTCAAACTCTCATTCCTCGTCATCAGGAATAATATATTCTTCTATATAGGCATGTGTCTATGTACTAAACCTTTGAGTAGGATGCTTGCACAACACTTATGCACCAAAAATAACAGATTCCTCTGTGTTGTTGAGGTTTTCGATTTAAGTAACAATAATGTAATAATAATGATATATATATTCTGTTTGTCGTGGGAGTTCTGTGTGCCATATTTGGTTCAATTCCACCATTGATGGGGTTCAGAATGCTCTATGATTGTAGGTGAACTATAAARCCCAGCAACTACAACTCCCAAATGACAAAATCAATTTTTTCGAGTGGAGGACATAAATTGGACTGTTAGGTGTCTTGTGTCCAAATTTGGTGTCAATCCCCCCAGTGGTTTTTGAGTTCTGATGGTAGCACAAARGAACATTACATTTTTATTMATATAMATATGGTGTTGTCAAAGGCTTTCATAARTGGAATCACTGGGTTGCTGTGAGTTTTCCAGGCTATATGGCCATGCTCCAGAAGCATTATCTCCTGACATTTCGCCTGCATCTATGGCAGGCATCCTCAGAGGTTGTGAGATCTGTTGGAAACTAGGAAAATTGGGTTTATATATCTTGTCAGAGGCAGGTYTAAATGTTTCAATTGGCCACCTTGAAAGCATTTAATGGCCTGTCAATTTCAGGGTCTGGCTTGTTACTTCCCTGGGGAATCCTTTGTTGGGAGGCAATTAGCTGGCCCTGATTGTTTCTTATCTGGAATTCCTCTGTTTTTGAGTGCTGTTCTTTATTTATGAGAATTCTTTCTCCCAACCTGGACATTCCACAGATATATAAACCCCCCTTTCCTGGTTTCCTGCAGACCTCACAACCTCTGAGGATACCTGCCATAGATGCTGGTGAAACGTCAGGAGAGAATGCTTCTGGAACATAGTCATACATCCCAGAAAACTCACAACAACCCATTGATCCCAGCCATGAAAGCCTTCAACAATAGATTCTTCTGTACTCACAACTTCTTGTAGTTAACTGCTGTTAAGTAAATTTTGACTTCTGGCAACCTTGTGAATGAGAGACCTCCAATTCACTCAACCAACTGTCAACCAATCTCAGGCCTTGCAGACTCAGGACTGTGGCTTCAATGACAGAATCTACCCATCTGAAATGCCTACTGCTTTCTACCATTCCAAGCATCTATTGTCTTTTCAAATGAGTCAGGTCTTCTTATTATATGGCCAAAGTACAGTAGCCTCAATTTAGTCATCCTGGCTTTTAGGGAAAGTTCAGACTTGATTTGCTCCAGATCCAATTCATTTATCATTTAGCAGTCAATAGCATCCGTAGGACTCTTCTCCAGCACATTTCTTATGAGTTGATTCTCTTCCTATCAGCTTTCTTCACTGTCCAGCATTCATACACAGAAATGGAAAATACAATATCATGGACTATCCTAACTTTAACATTCAGTGATATCTTACCATTTCAGGATCATGTTGATGGATATTTTTATTCCTTTACTTTTCAAACTTCATATCAATTGGTCTAGCAGAGCCAATATAGAGCAATGCTTAATGTGCTGTACGTGGAACAAGGAGACCCAAGTTGAAATGTCTGTTTGGTTATGGAATATAGGAAGGCTTTGCAACATATTTAAAAAGCAACTGGTTGCACCTGAAGGCTTCCAGGACAACCAATTCACCCTCTTTTTGGTAGTCTATGATTTTGGAGGTGTCAAGGACCAAAAATATATTCTGGGTGTGTATGCACTTTGCCTACTGCAATGTAATATGCTGCACAGTATGCTTATGGTAGAAACAAGAGTAATGTATTGTCGAAGGCTTTCATGGCTGGAATCACTTGGTTGTTGTAGGTTTTTTCGGGCTATATGGCCATGGTCTAGAGGCATTCTCTCCTGATGTTTCGCCTGCATCTATGGCAAGCATCCTCAGAGATAGTGAGGTCTGTTGGAACTAGGAAAAAGGGCTTATATATCTGTGGAATGACCAGGGTGAGACAAAAGACTCTTGTCTGCTGGCTACCAGTATTAAAACAAAATCTGGCTAGCAGTATTAAAAAAACTCTAAAATTACAACAGCACAACAACAGAGAGGAAACAAACAAGGACATCTAATCACCTCTCAACATAAGTTTGCTCTAGGCACTGTCAGGCCATTATATGCTAATCAAGGTGGTCAGTTGAAACATTCACACCTAGCTCCAGCAGACAGGACCTGCTCCCATTTGCTTTCGTGTCAAGCTGATTTTCATATCAGGAGGGGCCTTCCCGTAATGTGCTCCCAAAGTACCGAAGGAAACGGAAGAAACAAATTCCACACACAATTCTATTAGCCACAACCTCCAATTGTCAGATTTATCAAAAATCAAATAAACCAATCTATCGTAGACACGATATGATCATAAATAGAGAAAGAAAAGGGTTTGCCCAACTGTGGAACATTTCCAGCATTTGCATTCTGTTGAAATGTAATATTGCATTGAGCACATAATAGCAATCCAGCAACAACAGAGTAATTTACTTTGTTGAGTAATTCCCTTAGGGAGAAAATGGATTAGGTCTTTTCAATTTAATAGTTTAAGCCCTATAAGTCATTGGCAATCTTAAATCCTTCCAACCGCTCAGATTCAATATCAATGTATGCTTTGACCTTGACAACTAAAGCATTTCCAAGCTGAAAGTCTCTCCAAATTTATCTGTTGCATGAAAACCAACATCTGCTGAAATTCCACTTTCCACTAAATATACAGGAACTTTCTGCACTTTCCATCTGGCAGTCCTGATTCAGTTTACCACCTGCACTCATGTTCATTAGAACAGATAAAAACAGAAGGCAGAAATCATTACCTTAAGAATCTCTCTTAGCTTTTCTCTATGCCTTCCTTGTTTTTGTTTTTTTGCATTTTGTGTCTCTTCCTTAGCAAAACTCCATCTTTTTTACTCTTTTCCCATCTATAGGGGGCTCTTGTACCTTTCAATATGGCTTCAAGACAGAAGATGCTTTTTGGTTTTGACTTTGTTAACTACAGTTCCATCTTTTCCAGACTCACACTGTACCTTGGCTTGCAGGTCCATCTGAGAATACACAGCGGAGAGAGGCCTTTTCAGTGCGAGATGTGTCAAAAACGCTTCACTCAGCGGGCTCACCTGCAGAAACACCTTCTGGTGCATACGGGTGAAAAGCCCCACAAGTGCCTGGTAGGTCTCCCTTTTGTTTACTCCTCCAGAGATTTAGTAGAAGGAGATCTTCTGGAATGGTTATCTTCTGGAATGTTGGGCTATATCATAGGAAGGAGGAGGAAGGGAACAGAGAAGATGGGAGAAGACCTCCCAAGGCTTTACGGTGCTGTAAAAATATCAGGTGGGGAAAGTTTTTTGCAACCTAGGCTGTCAATTTAGGGCTACTCTAGACTACCTAAAAGCCTTGGGATTTGTCTGGAGTTGTGCCTGAACTGAATGGGATTTTAAAAAAATATCCATAGACATGATGCACCTCCTGTATGTGTATGTCTTCACCTCACTTGTCAACTTTCAGTGACCCTGTGAATATTCAGAGATACTTTTCCCAGTTCCTGCTCCTGAAACACAGCCTACAGCATCATGTGATCTCTCATTGGTGATCTCTCGTCACAGTACTAACCAGGGCGCATAAGATGCCTTTAGGGCAGTGTTTCTCAACCTGGGGGTCGGGACTCCTGGGGGGTCATGAGAGGGTTTCAGAGGGGTCACCAAAGACCATCAGGAAACACATATTTCTGATGGTCTTAGGAACCCCTTTGGCAGAGAAGGTTGAAGATATCTCCGCCTGTCCTTCTCTTTCATTTTGGAAAAAGATGGCGCATCCTCCTACCAAAAGCACTTCTTCTGCTTCCTGCATGTAGGTGAACTACAACTCCAAAACTCGAGGAACGCCCACCAAACCCTTCCAGTATTTTCTGTTGGTCATGGGAGTTCTGTGTGCCAAGTTTGGTTCAGTTCCATCGTTGGTGGAGTTAAGAATGCTCTTTGATTGGAGGTTAACTATAAATCCCAGCAACTACAACTCCCAAATGACAAAAGCAATCCCGCTCCCAACCCTACCAGTATTTAAATTTGGACGTATCGGGTATTCGGGCCAAATTTGGTCCAGTGAATGAAAATACATCTGGCATATCAGATATTTACATTACGATTCAAGACAATAGCAAAATTACAGTTATGAAATAGCAACGAAAATAATTTTATGGTTGGGGTCATCATAACATGAGGAACTGTATTAAGGGGTTGCGGCATTAGGAAGGTTGAGAACCACTGCTTTAGGGTATTTAAACCTTGTCCTAGTCCAGTGGTTCTCAACCTGGGGTCCCCAGATGTTTTTGGACTTCAACTCCCAGAAATCATAACAGCTGGTAAACTGGCTGGGTTTTCTGGGAGTTGTAGGCCAAAAACATCTGGGGACCCCAGGTTGAGAACCACTGCCTTAGTCTGTTTTTAATGAATTTCTGGGAGTTATGGTTTTTTTAAAGACAGGGCAGGGGGTGTTCCAACCTCTATCCCTGGACTTTTAAATACAAGCGTATCCCCTGTTTTGGTTCTTCCTGTCCTTTTAGCAACCCAACTGAGGTCTCATCTACACTGCCATATAAAATCCAAATTATCTGTGTTGAATTGGATTATATGGCAGTGTAGGTAAAAGTAAAGGTTTCCTACTGACATTATGTCCAGTCAAATGACACCATGCCTCTGAAAACAACAAGTTATTTTGAACAGTGCCCCATGGTTAGAGTACTGGATACAGGTAATGTAAAGGTATTCCCCTGAGATTAAGTCCAGTCATGTCTGACTCTAGGAGTTGGTTCTCATCTCCATTTCTAAGCCAAAGAGCTGGCATTGTCCATAGATACCTCCAAGGTCATGTGGCCGGCATGACTGCATGGAGCGCCATTACCTTCCTATCAGAGTAATACCTATTGCTCTACTCACATTTACATGTTTTTGAACTGCTAGGTTGGCAGAAGCTGGGGCTAACATCAGGAGTTCACCCCGCTCCCTAGATTTGAACCTGCAACCTTTCAGTCAGCAAGTTCAGCAGCTCAGAGGTTTAACCCACTGCGCCACCGGGAGCAGTGTAGACTCATACAATCCAATTTTGGATTATACGAGTCTGGATTATATGGCAGTGTAAATCCAGCCTGATGCTATGTTTATTGAAGGTATGACTTTTGCCAGAAGTTTTCCTCTGACCTTTCTTCTCCCATGACATTTCCAGTTACCAGATTCAATCCCTGTCTTCCTTTTAAAGCACGGGCAGGCAAAGTCCAGCCTGTGAACCACATGCAACCCTTGGGACCCTTAAGTGAGGCTTTTGGAGGCTAACAATTGTCCAAAATGTGTCTAAGTCACAGTGGTTTGTTTCCTCTGACCCGCCAACCCTTCCAGCACAAAATAAATTGCATCACCACATAGCAGGCAGGGAATAAAAAGAGTGAATGAATGAAACCTTGGTATATTTAGGGCATGACCGAATGTGGTTGTGGAAACAACTGTTAGAAAGCATGAAATCCAGAAACAGGATAGCCTGGGATTTCCTGGCCCATCTGGAGGAACCCTCACTTTGCTTTCTATATTTTTAACAGCTGCATGAAAAATGGAAATTCAGTATACAAAGCTTCTCCTGTCCTTGAAGCTGCGTGCTGGGAAAAGTTCCTGTCTCTGGATTTCTGTTTCCCATACAGTCGTCAGGCAACATGAAGACACATAGATATGTATAGTATGTTCAGGACCAGGCTGCAAAGGTCTTAGTCTTGAAGGGGCATTGCTTTTGTCTCTCTCCTCCACACAGTAAATTGAAGTTCTTCCTGACCTCACTGCTTGATATGAATTTTCATCCATCATTCACCAACCTTTGACAGTTAAAGCAGATGCAATGGTCACTGACCAGTTACACTCCAGGGTCATTTATGTTTTCATTTGCCTTCTAAAAATTCTGGTTGATGGTTAGAATTTTCCACGCAGAATGCAATCAAAGCACTAGGCATAAAGTCATAGGATTTATCTACACCGGACAAACTTTGGCTCTCCAGAAGTTTTGGACTTCAACTCCCACAGCCTACCGCAGTGTTTCTCAACCGTCCTAATACCGTGACCCCCAACCATAACATTATTCTTGTTGCTACTTCATAACTGTCATTTTCCTAATGTTGTGAATTGTCATGTAAATATCTGATATGCAGGATGGATTTTCATTCACTGGACCAAATTTGGCACAAATACCCAATAAGCCCAAATTTGAATACTGTTGGCGGGTTGGTGGTACTATCATTGGGAGACACGATGGACTTAGGTTTTCTTTGAGAAAATGCCTTATCCCTGATAGATCAGTGTTTCTCAGTCTTCCAAATGACGCAACCCAATAATAATAATAATAATAATAATAATAATAATAATAATAATAATAATAAATCTTTATTTGTACCCCGCTACCATCTCCCCAAGGGACTCAGTGCGGCTTACATGAGGCCAAGCCCACAACACATCAATAAACAAAACATCAAATATAACAATCAATACAATACAATTCATATAAATCACAAAAACAAAATAAGCAATAAACAATCAACAGTGACATACAAGCATTTAAAAACCAACAGTGACCCCCAACCATAAATGTATTTTCATTGCTCTTTTTATATATGCAGGAAGTATTTTCATTCACTGGGCCAAACTGGGCAGAAATACGCCCAAATTTGAATACTGTTGGGGTTGGTAGGGAATAATTTTGTCATTTGGGAGTTGTAGTTTCTGGGATTTATAGATCACCTACAACCAAATTGCATTCTGAAGTCTACCAGTGATGAAACTGAACCAAAATTGGCACACAGAACTTCCATGACCAACGGAAAATACTGGAAGGGTTTGGTAGCCATTGACCTTGAGTTTTGGAGTTGTAGTTCACCTACATCCGGATAGCACTATAGACTCAAACAATGATGGATCTGGATCAAACTTGACACTAATACTTAATATGCCCAAATGTGAACACTGGTGGAGTTTGGGGGAAAAAAGACCTTGACATTTGGGATTTGTAGTTGCTGGGATTTATAGTTGACCTACCATCAAAGAGCATTTTCAGTTCCACCAACGATGGATTTGAACCAAACTTGGCACACAGTTCTCCCATGACCAACAGAAAATATTGGAAGGGTTTGGTGGGCAGTGTCCTTTGATTTTGGAGTTGTAGTTCACCTACATCCAGAGAGCACTGTGGACTCAAACAATGATGGATGTGTAGTTGCTGGGATTTATAGTTCACCTACAATCAAAGAGCATTCTGAACCCCACCAATGAGAGAATTGGGTCAAACTTCCCACACAGAACCTTCATGACCAACAGAAAATACTGTGTTTTCTGATGGTTTTTGGCAACCCCTCTGACGCCCCCTCACGACCTCCCTCCCAGGGTTCCCAAACCCCAGATTGAGAAATGCTGACCTACTGGCTGTTAGGAATTATAGGAGTTGAAGTCAAAAATACCTGGAGAGCCAAAGTTTACCCATGCCTGATCTACACAAATCTCAGGATTCCATAGAACTGAGCCACGGTGCCTCAATTCTACAGTGTGGGCACACCCTTTGTCCAACGCTCCAACTCTACTGGCTCTCTTCAAACTTTGTCTTTCTCTCGTGTACAACTGCTATTTGCAAGAACCTGTCTCTCCATCACTTCCAGGTCTGCGGCAAACACTTCAGCAGCTCCAGCAACCTCAAAACCCACCTGCGCCTTCATTCCGGGGTGAAGCCCTCCACTTGTTGCCTGTGCCACAGCTGTTTCACCCGCCGTGCCCACCTCCAGCTACATCGACCTTGGCACGAACGCCGGCCCCAGCACCCGCAAGGGATACTGCCCACTTGCCCCATTCACCAACTGCTCCCCTGCCTAGCTGTGTCACTTCAGAAATGTGATTGATCACTTTGACCTCACTCTGGATGCCTATCACCTGGAAGAAGATGAACCTGATCCTGCCAGGGCTACTTTGCTGCCGAAAACCATCATTTGGAAGGAAATTTATTTATCGTGTCAGGAGCAAGTCAAACAGTTGTATTGCATTTTTAACAAACAAACAAAACACAAAGTTTGCAAGCTTGGTAGTTAATTAAATGTCCTTTGACCAGTAGCTGGCCACTTGGAGTGCCTCCGGTGTTACTATAAGAAGGCCCTCCATTGTGCATGTAGCAGGGCTCAGGTTGCATTGCAGCAGATGGTCTGTAGTTTGCTCTTCTCCACACTCGCATGTTGTGGATTCTACTTTGTAGACCCATTTCTTAAGGTTGGCTCTGCATCTCGTGGTGCCAGAGCGCAGTCTGTTCAGCGCCTTCCAAGTCACCCCGTTTTCTGTGTGCCCAGGAGGGAGTCTCTCATTTGGTATCAGCCATTGATTGAGGTTCTGGGTTTGAGCCTGCCACTTTTGGACTCTTGCTTGCTGAGGTGTTCCAGCTGATGTCTCTGTAGATCTTAGAAAACTATTTCTTGATTTAAGTCATTGACGTGCTGGCTAATACCCAAACAGGGGATGAGCTGGAGAGGAAATGGGAGGCCAGGACAAAACCTTCTTCACAGCAAGCTTCTGCAGACAGTTTTGTCAGATTGGTCTCCGCCTTTTTTTCTGAAGGAGCTTTGCCAACACAACCTAACTAATGTTCATAAGTGGGAAAGACTGCTGCCCTTTGAATATTTTTTCTTTTGGAGAATTTGTGGGTAGAAGTGAAAAAGAAGGCTTTTGAAATCCTGCTCCCTCTTCACCCCACCTTTCTAATAATAACAGTAGTAGTAGTCAATTTTATTGATTAACCCTTAGCCCATATCACAATACCACACCAAACAAAAAGGCTTGATAAAATTTGATTAAACTCTATATAGTAAGTTAAGTGCAGTAAATAAACATGATAAAACTGAATATATACATGTTTCTGTATCACCCCTACAATTTACCCCAATCAGCCCCACGTATGTGGTTCTCAGATGTATTGCTTTGCTTAAAAACAGTGCTGTTTTATATGATATTTTGAGTCTTGGCTACACATAAAAAATGTTGTTCTGGTGTGGGATTCCCAATAAATTGTCCATTTGATATATGAACAAAAGTACATCATAATAACAGGAAACAGGTCCATTTTTTTTCTGTGCTACCCTGTCTTGAGCATGCCCTTTTGTAGAATAGACTAGAATAGAATAGCGCTATGTCACAACGAAATTGCATGCCTTCATTGCGCTATGTCATTGCGCTATGTCACAACGAAATTGCATGCCTTCCCCCGCACACACCACAAAACAACACCCATCCCTCCACACACACACACACACAGGCCCGTAGCCAGGATTTCGTTTCGGGGGGGGGGGGGCGGAATTTTTTTCAGGAGTTGATTCGGGGGGTGGGGGTGGGGGGGCTGAGTCTGAGTGAAAGAGGGTCTACCCTAGCAAACCTTTTGTATCATTACCCCAATACCCCCATGCATATGGGATATATTGAGTATGGTGATCAGATCATGATATGAATAAACATAACAGTGTAAATAATGCACCAGTAAGGCCTTTTCGCGAACCACCATGAGAATTTGGGGGGGGGGGAAGCCCCCCAAGCCCCCCCCCTGCACACACACCCCACCACCACACAACCTCCAATGCCACATCAATGCAAAACGACGGAATTCAACATAGCCACAGCTCTAGGATAAAAACGATACTTCAGTCTCTTTGTCCTTGTCTTTTCACCCTGTACCATCTGCCAGATGCCAATAAATCAGAAAAGAAAAGAAAAAAAAGGATATCCGGGTGAGATGGATCCCCAAGAATGCTCTGAGCTTTCTTAAGGCAGCGGGAATTATAAAGTTCTTCCAAAAAGGGGAGAAAGAGGGCAACCCATGAGTCACTGTGCAGAAGTGGTGGCCCTTTGGAGCGGATTCCTATCTGCCACTGTGCAGCAGTGGTAGCATGTTTTATTGATTAGCCCATTCGCTGTATCAAAACATTTGACAAACACATTTAACACATACAGCATACAACCCACAATACAACAAAAGTTAAAATACACAAGCTGTTAACAAGATCCTAATCCAGATCAAATATCTGCATCACCTTTCCAGTTTACCCCAATCAACTCCAAATCTGCAGTTCTCAGCTGTGTTGCTTTAAATAGAAAAAGTGCCCTTTTGTATGTTATTTTAGCATTCTGGCTGGCCAATAAAAATGTATTTTAATATAAGGATCCCAGTGTGTTTTTTGTATAATGTATAGCCCAAGGAATTGGTTTCTGTATTCTTTGTAGAAGTTACAACTAAACAGTCATGTGTGATATCTTCTACCTCTGACACTCCACAGATACAAAATCATTTATTATATGGAACTTGCCACTTCATTACTAATAAATACCATTGAGTGCTACACTTAAAATGTGGAAAGCCACTATTCTCATCACATTAGGTTGGATTCAAGTGTAGGACACAGCATTCTTTGTATATTTTTTCTCTAGTGCAGTAATTCTCAACCTTCCTAAAGCCGCGACCCCTTAATACAGTTCCTCATGTTGTGGTGACCCCCAACCCTAAAATTATTTTTGTTGCTACTTCATAACTGGAATTTTGCTACTGTTATGAATCATCATGTGAATATCTGATAGGCAGGATGTATTTTCATTCTCTGGACCGAGTTGTAGTTGCTGGGATTTATAGTTCACCTACAATCAAAGAGCATTCTGAACTCCACCAGAGATGAAATTGATCCAAACTTGGCACACAGAATGCCTTTGACCAGCAAAAAATAATGAAAGGGTTAGTTGAGCATTGGCCTTGAGCTTGGGAGTTGTAGTTCACCTATCTCCAGAAAGCACTGTGCACTCAAACAATGATAGATCTAGACTAAACTTGGAATGAATACTCAATAAGCCCAAATGTGAACACTGATGGAGTTTGGGGAAAATAGACCTTGACATTTGGGAGTTGTAGATGCTGGGATTTATAGTTCACCTACAATCAGAGAGCATTCTGAACCCCACCAACGATAGAATTGGGCCATACTTCCCACACAGAACCCCCATGATCAACAGAAAATACTGTGTATCCTGATGGTCTTTGATGACCCCTCCGACACCCCCTCACGACCCCCCCAGGGGTCCCGACCCCCAGGTTGAGAAACACTGCTCTAGTGAGATGAAGTGGTAAGTGTGGGGGCCAGCATTCTTTTCAAACGTTTCAAGAGGTGGTGAGGAAGTGGATTTTTGGTAACGATCCGGATATTTGGCCAATTCTGTAATGTGATGGCATTCGTTGCTCCCAGGTTTAAAATGAAACATTTCCCCAATTTGTGGGAGAGGAAATTGTGGGAGGAGTCAAGCAGCTCTCTGGGTGCATCTTCACTGGACGCTAAAACAGTTGGAACCCACTTTAAATAACATAGCTCCATTCTAAGCAGTGCTGGGAGCTATAGTTTGCCAAGGCCCACACCTTCCTCGGGTGCCTCTGCACTGGAGAATAAATGGAGTTGGGACCCACTTTAAAGCTCCAGGGGTCCTCAAACTTTTTAAACAGAGGGCCAGGTCACAGTCCCTCAAACTGTTGGAGGGCCGGATTATAATTTGAAAAAAACATGAATTAATTCCTATGCACACTGCACATATTTTATTTGTAGTGCAAAAACACTTAAAAACAATACAATAATTAAAATGAAGAACAACTTTAATAAATATAAACTTATTAGTATTTCAGTGGGAAGTGTGGGCCTGCTTTTGGCTGATGAGATTGTTGTTGTTGTTGTGTGCTTTCAAGTCATTTCAGACTTAGGTTGACCCTGAGCAAGGGCCGGCTAAATGACCTTGGAGGGCCACATCCGGCCCCTGGGCCTTAGTTTGAGGACCCCTGCTCCATACTATCCAGTCCTGGGAATTATAGTTTCCCAAGGTCCGCATCTGCACTGAAGAATAAATTCAATTGGGACACATTTTAAATGCCATTATTATTATTATTATTATTATTATTATTATTATTATTATCATCATTTTACTGACACAAAAACACAGTATGTCACAGCAAACGAGATCTATGTGCTGGATTTCGTATCACAAAATCACAAGTTGAACACTTCCCAAGCATCTAGGACTGTGTGATATATTTTCACACAGTTGTTATTATTATTATTATTATTATTATTATTATTATTATCATTATTATTATTATTATTATTATGCCATGTCTCCACTGGAGAAGACAGAAAGGTGTTTTTTCCAGAAAAGAAGACGGGGAGGGGTGGCGGGCAGGGCCACATCTTTAAAGTGTGATGGCAAATAAACTCAAAGAATGCAGAGCAACATGGATACATTTAACAGTGTGATGAAGGTAGGGAAATCATTCATTTCATTTCAAAATGGAGCTCTACTCTGCCAAACACTTCCCTGCTTCAATGTGATAAAGTAGCTAACGTGATGGGAACTTGGCTTTCCAAATTTTAAGTGTAGAACTTAGTGGTATGTAGTAGAGCCCCCGGTGGCACGGTAGGTTAAACCCCTGTGCCGGCAGGTCTGAAGACCGACAGGTTGCAGGTTTGAATCTGGGGAGAGGCGGATGAGCTCCCTCTATCAGCTCCAGCTCCTCATGCGGGGACATGAGAGAAGCCTCCCACAAGGACGATAAAACATCAAATCATCCGGGCATCCCCTGGGCAACATCCTTGCAGACGGCCAATTCTCTCACACCAGAAGCGACTTGCAGTTTCTCAGGTCGCTTCTGACACGACCAAAAAAAAAAGTGGTATCTAGTAAATATGAGGAAATGAATGGCACAAATGTTACTTAATCCCTCTAAAGATGGATTTCACTATCACCACACCCAGCTAATTGTCAACTGCTAATCACACTTCCTTCTCCAATGTTTTGAAAGTTTAATTCCTTGCAAGGGACAGTGTTTGTAATAAAGGATTGT